ACCCACTTCTGGTGGAGTTCCTGTCGTTACAAAAAAAAATAAAAAATAAAAAATAATCCCTATAGGAGATAAAGTTTTTGGACCCCTAAGGAATTAGACACATAAAGTCGGCCAAAGATTCAATTCACATTGCATGCAACGACCTGAAAAACTCGTAACAAATGGTAAACACTAATTTTCCATTTTTAATTTAATTTTTTTTTGAAAACTTACAAAAGAAAAATAACAATTATAATCTCACTAAAGATATAAATAAGACAAATACACAAATTACTACCAAAAATCCAACTAGGAACACACACACGAAACACTTATTTTTGACAAAATGTAAAATTTGGAAAAATTCGAACACAAAGTTTTGAAAAACAAAACGATTTCCAAAATGATCCAAAAACTTTTAGAATGTCTAAAAACCCTCTTTCCAAATTGTATATGGAATCACAAATATCACCTTTGTAATTGACAATTCATGGCAAAATATAGGAACAAGAGCACAATAATTAAAGCAAACTTGGAAAATTGAAGTTCCTCATTTAACTACGATATTTAGTTTATAAAATACAAATAAAAATAGCATGCCTAGTAGTTCATGACCTGTGAATTGCATCCTCTTATCGGAGTTCATATATGGTTGGACACAATGTTATGGGGAGACAATGACGAAATCCTTGTAGATTTCCCCCCTCTTGCTTTAAATATTCTCTTTGTTCAAAAATTATTGTTAATTTAAATTTTCACTTTTAGTTCAGTTTGTACTAAAACTAAAAATCCAAACTAGAAAATAATTTTGGGACAGAAGGAGTACATAGTAAGGATGGATGTATTCATTCTTCATTTTCTTTCCTTTTCTAGTTTCAATAACAACAGTGAGAGCATGCGATTGGTATAACATGCACGTTATCTTGTTTTGCAAAGAAAACGTTTCCATAATTCCAAGTAGTTACAAGTTGTGGAGCTTAAAACGATGTTATTATCAGTTGTGGAGTATATAACTTTTCTACCAGGTGTGGTAAGACTCTTAGAAAATTTTTTAGAATTTCAGGAGTCGATTTCCATTTAAAATAGGGTGGTGCCATGTGTTAAAGGAAAGTGTTCAATTGTGTTTCAGTTATTTTTAATGTTTTTACTATGGAAAAGGCAAAACCTAACCAAACTACCTTAAAACATTGATAGGGTGAGAAAGCCCCTCCCTTCTGTTTCGGTTTTTTTTTTATAATTTGTTTTTAAATTTTTACAAAGCCCAATTAACTTTTTCAGGTCAGTGCATGCCAATTTTATTTGTGATTATGTCATGGACTGAGTATTTGGGAAGCCAGAATGATAAACGGTTCCGGTGAACGGAGGCGTCGAACTTGGAGTTTCCGATGAGAAGAAGAATTATCGGAGAAGAAGGTAGAGTTTGTAAGGGAAAGGAAGAGTTTTAGGGAGAGAGAAATTCTTAACAGAATTTAGTTATCACATCTTAGCTACCTTCTCTATTACAATTTCATGTATATATATTCTGAGAAATGAAAAGAATTTCTTCGGATCGGCTAGAAGCTTCCCCAGTTGGAACGCATGACTTGCAGTCTTGCAGAACGACGTCGCAGTGGCTACCCTCCCAATTGTTTGAATTTTCCACCGACTTCCGAATTGGCGCATCCCTGACATTCCCTCCTTCTCAAACCAAACTTGACCTCAAGTTTTAAAATCCAGAAACTGCCCTTTAATGAAATTACAGTCCTCCCATGAAGCATCTTCCATTTCCAATCCCCTCCATTTAATCAGCCACAGAAGTGGTTCTACTCCTGGTAGCTGTTCTGATCAAGTTCTCAATCTCATCCTCAGTGACTAAAGAATGCCCTTGTAACATAAACCTCCGACCTCCTCTGGACAACTCAATCCTACAGTTATCATAATCAAAGAGCACAGGACTGAAATGTGACATCCAATTTGTCCCTAATATAACATCCCAGTTTCCCAGTTTCATCAACCTGAGATCAAACTGAAAATGATGCTTCTGAATAGACCACCTAGCAGCAGGGCAAATCTCATTGTTTTGGATTCTATGTCCATCAGCCACCTTAACATAATATGGTTTCACCAGTTTTCTTTTCAATTCTAACCTTTCAGCCACAGAATTGTCAATAAAGCTTCTGACAACCCCAGTATCTATTAAAATTTTCACCATTTCATCATTAATAATGCCTTTGATGATAATCAATTTCCTGCTATTGTTTTCCTATTCTTCCTCTTCCATTACATCACAGTCATCCCAATAAGAAACGGTATGTAATTCCAGAGATTTGGTAGATCCCTCCAACTCATCACTCAATCAATTGACCTTAGAAAGATCCACATCATTCTCTACAATGATCAAATTGAGATGTTCCATTTTACAAACATGACCAGGCCCCCAAGATTCATTACACTTCCAGCACAAATTATTCACTTTTCTGAATTGCTTTTCCTGAGGTGATAATCTTTTAAACACCTCATTACTACCCCTAGACGCTCCTTGTGTAGCCAGCTTTCCCACAGAATTAAAGCTTTGGTTATTAGCAGGAGTTACCGTCTTAGTTTTAGGAACTAATGTAAGAGTGTGTTCCTAAGATCTTGTTGCCTGGAAAGCCCTCAACACTGTTTATGGCTCAATGAATCTCACAAACGGCTTAAATTCTGCTCTTAGGCCACTGACAAAGCTTGATACAAAATAAGATTCACTAAGATGAGGAGTAATGCATAATAGTTGAGACTTAAGCTCCTCAAACCTGTCATAGTACTCAGTAATGGTTCCCGATTGAGTTAGCTTATTAAACTCTTCAATAGGATCCAAGCTATCCAAATCCTTAAATCTTTTTAATAATTCTGACTCAAACTGATTCCAAGATGACTGAGGATTGCATTTCTTGAAACTTTGAAACCACAAGTCCGCTTTACCATCCAGGAAAATTCAACAGAATCTAATTTTTCATCATCAGTCATGCGATAGTACCTAAAATACTTCTGACACTTCTGTAACCAACTTCTAGCATTCTCACCATCAAACATGACTAATTCAATTTTAGGCTTAGGTTTACTGTTCCGAGAATTCATTCTCAAATCAACAACATCATTATCATCATCATCAAACACCAGCCTGGTTTTTTGGTTGTACTGAGTAACTTTAGGCCCATATCTTCTCGACTGCACGATTTAATTCCAGAAACAGAAGCAATAGAAGAGGAATTAGGAATTTTACCCACACAGCTCGAGTAATCCTTAATTGCCACTGAATCCTGCTTGATCGTCTGAAATTGTGCATCAATTGCCACAAATCGGTCCCGCACCACCTCATCAATCATTGAAGGCAGATTTGTGTTGATTTTAGCAAATTCCTCGTTCATCGTCTTTATCAACTGCTCGGTCATCGTCTTCACCATCTGATCCTGAAGACCCTTGAACCTTAGCTCAAGCGAATCCTCAGCTTCTAGCAGAATGATTTGGTGCCATTTCTTACACCAATCCAAGGAACGAAAAGCTCTGGATACCAAATGTCATGGACTGAGTATTTGGGAAGCCGGAATGATAAATGGTTTTGGTGAACGGAGGCGTCAGACTTGGAGTTTTCGGCGCGAAGAAGAATTATCGGAGAAGAAGGTAGAGTTTGTAAGGGAAAGGAAGAGTTTTAGGGAGAGAGAAATTCTTAACAGAATTTAGTTATCACATCTTAGCTACCTTCTCTATTACAATTTCATGTATATATATTCTGAGAAATGAAAAGAATTCCTTCGGATCGGCTAGAAGCTTCCCCAGTTGGAACGCATGACTTGCAGTCTTGCAGAACGATGTCGCAGCGGCTACCCTCTCAATTGTTTGAATTTTCCACCGACTTCCAAATTGGCGCGTCCCTGACAGATTATTGGTAAACTATTTGGGCCTACTTAGTGTCTCTTTTCCCTTCATTTTTCTTTTCTTTTTTTTTTCTTTGGGTGGAAGTAACATGGTGTTTTCAATAAGAGAAGAAATTAAAATAAATATACTATGACAAAAAAAAAAATCTCATGTAATTCTTAAAAAAAGTAAAATAAAACCTTTTAACTTCTTCGTAAAAAATCTTGCTACTAACCCTTTAAATTATTAATTAACTCTAGCTTCGTCGACTTTCCGAGGTGTAATTTCCTCCAATCTTCAATCATAAACATTTTGTTGCATATTTAAAAATGTACTATCAAACACTTCTGAGATTTTGACTAGACCTTCTCACTTGTAATCATTCTTGTAATCATTCCCTTCTTGTTTAAGAACTTGTTATGATACTAGCTAAAAGATTTCAAAGCATATAGATTGTAAACATTTTATTTCATTTTCATTAGGTTCTACTTCTCTGAAATAGTTATTAGTTTTGTTGCTTCAACTCTATATTTTCATGAAAGGCGCGTGAGCAAGAAAAGTTAGTATTGAAAATAAGTGAAGCTCATGAAGGAGTACTATTCGTTTAAATGATATTAACGCTATGTTTATCAATGCCGGCCTCCTATGGCCAACTGTATCAAACCACCCATATATCGCATGCGTGGAGAATCTTTGGTTGTTGACTAGTTAAACCTTATAATTTCTAAGGACAGCTATCAATTAGTGAAACATATTTTATTTTAGAAAAATGATAGGGCCAATAAAAATATATCGCACTATAAAATATGTAAATGATGTAAAGCAATTCCACCAATCATCATATACTCTTCATGATTTTCTCATTTATATCCCGATGTGACGATTTACATATATTTGGTTTTGATTAAGCGAGGAGGGAAAGCTTAGAACAATACCACACTAGCACAATTAAGATTTTGAATTTGATAAAACTGTGTGTAGAAGAATATGGTACCAAAAGAACGTTGCAGCTATGAAAATAAAAGTACATTAGCTGTCCGAAACATAGTGTTAATAGAAGCCAAAACCCGCAAAAGCCCATACATTTTTATGTTTTTTACTATTAAGCGAAACTTAGTGTTAATATAGAAGCCAAAAGCCGCAAAAGCCAACGAGTGTTGCATAAAGCTCATATCTTTAGTTTCTTAGATAGAATCCGACAATCTACAAATATCCTGGTAAGGTAGATTTATTTATCATACAAGTGAGAGTGACGTACACTTGGCCACATGACCTTTTGTTTCTCCCTGAAATGTGATTCTTAATCATTATATGTGTAACAAAAAAAACTACAAGTAATTTTCAAAGTAAATTACAATTAATAATCTCATTTGAAGACATGAAAGAATCGATCATTAGGCCATCAATTCCTTCAAATTAAACTTATGATAAATGATACTATGTATTAGCTAGATAAATGACCTAAATCACAGCCAATGGGAGAGTACGATCAAAGCTTTCACGACGAACTTTAGTCCGATTCATCGACTTCTTTTTCGTCGCTCCAAATTCCATTTCCCTACCTGCAGAAATCCCCTTCTTATGTGAAATTTGGGTCGACTTGCTCGCATTTTGGGACACTGATCCTCCATCTCTTACAGCCCCTCCGAGGACTAATATCCTCGTAATCCCCGAATAATGCAACGATTCGGCAATTTCCAAAGCGGTAATCCCCTTGTTAGTCCTCGCTTCAACATCAGCTCCCTTTTTCACTAGCAATTCAATCACCTCCGCATGGCCGGATTCGACCGCGCAATGTAACGCGGAGTATCCGTCTTCATCTCTCGCGTTAACGTCCACCCCATTTTCGATTAGGGTCCGGACCGCGTCGAGTTTCCCTTTGAACGACGCGCGATGGAGTGCGGTCCATCCATGTTGATCGCGGCCATTGATAATCGCCCCGGTTTCGAGTAGCCGGTGTATGGTCCTCACTTCTCCCTTCCGAGCTGCGGCGCATAAGCTGTCTCCCAAACGAAGCGCGTCGAAAAGCCGGCTGTGCCCGTGCTCGGCTGCAACGTCGTAAGCCGTCCTTCCATTCCGGTTCCGGATGTCTTTATTCGCTCCCTTTTGGAGAAGGAGTTTAACCATCTGTTCGTCGCCTAACCCGGCCGCAATATGAAGTGCAGTGTCTCCATCGCCACCATTTCGAATATCCGCGCGGGCGCCATTCGCCAGGAGGAGCCGGGCGCAATCCCGCCTCCGTTCCTCCACCGCCAAGTGAAGAGCCGAGTCTCCGTCTTTTGTTAGCGCGTCAACATTGGCGCCCTTCAACAAAAGAAGCCTCAAAACCTCGGCGTGGCCCCCACCAGCAGCGAGATGGATGGGTCCCCACGTGGACTCAGATCTCTCGGTGTTGGCGCGGTGGGCTAATAAGAGCTCCACTATTAGAGCCTCTCCCAATGCCGCGGCGGCTTCCAAAGGAGTTGAACCAGACCGGCTTCGAGCCTCCATATCCGGATTAAACTCGAGGATGAGTTGAACCAGTTCAGGTCGGCTTTGAGCTATAGCTAAGTGAAGTAAAGTCTGGCCATCGGCGTCCACCGAATCGGCCGGCTTCCACGACGGATCGCTCTTTTCCAACGCCTCCCGAATCACGTCCATCGTGCCTCTCGAAACAAGCTGAGCCAAAACTAGCGAACCTACAAACATGACTTTGATTCCGCTGTCAATGAAAACTTGCTTCCTTTTCGTCGTGAACCAATCGTTAGGGACGGCATCGAACATCGAGGACGAGTCCTTGGCGGAAGCCCCCGGTGCCACCACGCTGTGCAAGAGAAACGAGTCATCCGAATACGGGAAAGAATCGGGAAGACTCGAATTCGGAGGGATATGATAAGTTATCTCCACGGAAATAGTCATGAGGGGGGAGATGATCCCGGATTGCGGCTTGACGGAATATTTGGTTTTGTTCATCGGTTGAAGCCGGAATGCCACCGGCATAGTGTACATTACGTTCCGCAAAGTTACCTCGCCGTAGCATTTTTGCCCGGGTTCGATCCGGATTGTAACCGTGTTTGATGGTTCTAGACTAATAAGCCTATCCATCTCTTACTTTTTTTCTCTCTCAAAACTTTGTGTATCGTTCACTCTTTTATTCTTCAATGAGATCTTAGAGTGTTAGTTTCTTGTGGTAATTTTTTAATCATTTGGAAAGTAGAATTGGTAAAACTGAAATTCTTCAGTTGGATGTTTGTTTAAAAAAATATGCAAGGAAAAACAAAATGAGAGGAAGAAGTTAAAAGGACGGATTATAAGAGAGCAAATTTAAAGGTAACAATGGGGAACGCCGGCTTGTAACAAGGTACTGCCATTTGGTGGAGTTAAAAACAATGCGGACTTGTTCGATTCCGTGTTTGTAACACTAAAGAGAGATCTGAGTATGAACTGAAAGCTACGTAAATGTTATATTATTAGGGAATAATACATATACCTTGTTTTGTTGGGTTTTTTATATTTTTGTCGTGCAATTGGATGGGACATTCGTGGCACATTCAAAGGGGTTGGTGGTTCCACTTGTATGAAACCAGTTCGTCATTACTCTCAAAATAAAACGAGTAATTCATAGTAAGCATACAAAATTGAAATATATGGCTGAGACAACTAATTTCGTTTAGCATATATGCAAGTCTTTTTGACCTCTTCTTACCTTAAGATCTTACTGCGGCCAACTAAAGAGGCTCATATTAGTACGGTTAAAATTAATTGTGAACTTGCCTCGGGTGCATTTTAAGACTAGCCAATAACAATATGGGGGCAAGTACTGAACAAATCTGAAAGAAACTTTTCTATTTCAATTTTCGATCGGCAGCTGTGTCTGACTGGACATAATGTAAACCAATTAAAAAAGGAATAATAAAAAAGAAAGGACAATACATATATCGAAGCTATATTAGCGAATGGCAACTAATGACTATATTCATAAATTTATGAAAAGTAGCTAGCTACAGCCTACAGCAGGTTTGTTTTAGAGTTCATAAACAGTTTCATGACAATATACTGAATTTTTTTTTGATGAAAAAAAAATCATAAAGAGTACTTCGCAATCACAAAGATAACATAATTAATGTCATAGCACATTAAAGGATTTAATGTTCCATTTGATGGATCCTAGCTATTAATGTTCGGCTTGAGCTAGTTGAGTTACAAATGAGTACTTCATCTATCTTAGCGCCGTTGCGATAAAAAATAAAACTACATAATTCACTTTTCGAATTAAAGCTTATACGTAGATCCAATAAATTAATTCCAAATTATTGAAATTTAAAATTTTATCCCAGCATTAAATATTTTCCTCGTTTCAGTTTGTAACACTTTGAAACTAAACGAGGTAAATCTCCAGACATTGGATGATTGGAACTAAACTCTGAGATGAATTTATCGGGTACTTTCTCCAGACGCTGTGTTTTTGATGTGTTGTACGACTTTTGCTTTTTTAAAAAACATTAAGTACGGAGTATTAATAATTGATGCATAAAGGTCGAGACATAATTTGTTTAATACTCCCTACTCTCACAAAATCAGTTCAGTTTGATAAAAAATTTTATCTCAAAAAAATAATCCAGTTTTCAGAAAGTCAAAATTGAGACACATAAAATGACTTAATTGTCCTTTTTGATAAATGGATTGAATCAGTCCGACGGCAATGAGGAGAAAACCAAACTGAATGGACTCAATGGAGTACTGCCCATCCCCGTGGGTGTAATCTCATTGTTGCTACCTCCGGTGTAATTTCCATTGTTGCCACCTCCTTCCTTTTTGTTAGATGATTCTAATTACTTCAGTTTGCATTTAAGGCTTTCCGACTATGGATAATCTACGATAATCCAACTTTCAAATTGCAAAATGGCGCGAAATCCTCAAATCTTCGATCCGACCAGCAATTAGCGATCAATTCGATGAGATCCATCTCCGGTTGCCCAATCAACTCCGGCTGCTTCAGCAATTCAACCACCACCGCCGTCCGAGCAATCTTCACTTTTCTTCCTCCTTCCTTTGCCGCCTGCAACCGGACGAGCCCAAACATATCTTGGCACGATAGACCCAGACTAAAGCTCCTGATCGGAATTGATCAATAGTCTCCGATTGATAATGATGTTGATGATGATTGAACGGGCGACTGCGATTGAGAACCCTGTGACTGCGCTTTGGAGAATCGATGGGTCTGGTTTTTTTTTTTTTTAATATTTCGTGTTAAATTAATTTTTGAACAAGGGCAAAAATGGAAGTTCGAAGTATAAAAGGAGTTGTACCTTTTTGGGGTTGAGTTGTACATTTCAAAACTGGACAATTTTTTTGAGACGGAGAAGTAGTAACTTATAACTTTGCAAGTCTTTTAACTTCTTATCATAAGATCTTACTGCGGCCGACTAAAGGCTTAGAATATTAGCCCGGTTAAACAAATGGCAAAGTTACAATTGGTACATTTTAGGAGTAGTCAACAACAACAATATTAGGACAAGTGCACAGATCTGAACAAGACTTTTCTATACCAAATTAAAAAATATGTAGTAGAAAATAAAGGGTAATAACAACACAACATTAATGAATGGGAGCAGAATTTATTAACTCAATTTACAAAAGGAACCAGAAGTTAGTTGTAGAATACGTAATCAGGTTCTGGACAATAAATATTGATATTGCTTTAGGGTACTTTGCATGCAATATAATCATTTATCATACTCCTTCCGTCCCATATTTATTGTTCACTTTGTCCAAAAAATTTTGTCCCAAAATTATTTCCAATTTGACTTTTTATGGATCAAGTTACACATTTGTCCTTAGTAAAAAACATTATCCATAAAATCTTAGTGGTTAAACAATTACTTATGTAAGGGTATATCCGGTTGTTTAAGATAAAATATAACTAAGTTTGATCAAAAATAAAAACTTTTATTTTAATAAAACTGGACAATAATTATGGGACGAAGGGAGTACCATTTCTTTTTTTACTGAATTGAATAATTTCACTAATTTAATCTATCTCATGTTGATCACGCAAAGTCGCCCTCTATGAGATAGGGGAAAAAAATGTCTTGTATCACCACACTACCATCAGAATTCCTTCGCGTTTACCGGGAAAGAAAGATTCACACGCATCATATTCACTTGTTACCTCATAGATTTTCTTACAAAACTAGGGCTCATGTCAAATTGGGGGAAAAATCCCGTAATCAGTTTTCTGTATATTTTAACTTCAAAATAAAACTGTACAAAGAGTATTTATATATGTACAATAGGACTAAGTGAACTACTGTAACTATACTATTTTTACAAATGAGTCCCTGTATTATTTACATTTATCAATTGAATACTATTTACAACAAACACAATTCAGAACTGTACATTAACTAAATGTGTACAGATTAATCATGTATCCTAAAGCTAAAACACCATGAGTTGATCCTTGCTGATCACTCAACACCCCCTCCTCAAGGTGAGCTTGGGATAAGCTCATCTTGCCAAGAAGAACATCAAATGTGAGTGCTGGAAGTGATTTGGTGAGCAGATATGCAATTTGCTGAGATGAACTGATATGATTCAGAGTGAGGAAGCCCTGTTTATACGTACCTCTAACATGTGGCAGTCAATATCAATGTGTTTAGTCCGCTCGTGGAAGATGGGATTGGCAGAGATATGGATTGCAGCACGATTGTCACACCAAAAGGAAATAGGCAAAGTGAAGGAAACCTGGAGATCATGAAGAATATAGCCAATCCATTGAAGTTCCCGAGCTGTTGTGGCCATGGCTCTATATTCAGCTTCAGCTGAAGAGCAAGAAACAGTACTTTGCTTTTTCGTCTTCCAGGAGACTTAACAATCACCAAGAAAGATACAATAACTGGTTAAAGATCGTCTGGTAAACTGGCAGCTACCCCAATCAAAGTCACTATAAGCCGTGGGCTGCAAAGTAGTACTCGGATGGAATAAGCCTTGACTAGGGCAACCAGCAAAATAGCGAAGAACATGGGTGGCAGCGTGCCAGTGAGACTGAAGAGGAGCCTGCACAAACTGGCTGAGCTGCTGGACAGCATATGCCAGATCAGGCCTTGTATAGTTCAGATACAATAGGCGGCCAACAAGCCGACGATATTTGGCAGCATCAGAGAAGGGTGGACTAGGGTCTTTAGCAAGAAACTTGAAATCCTTAAGAAACGGAGTGGAGACAGGATGACAGTCAAGCATCTCAGTGTCCCGAAGGATATCAGTTATATATTTCTGCTGACAGATACAGAGACAAGAGGAAGACCTAGCAATCTGCATGCCGAGAAAATATTTGGCGAGGCCAAGGTCCTTGATAGAAAAAGCAGTGTCTAGAAAAGCTTTAACTCTAGCAAACTGGAGACCTCATTAGAACCAGTGAGGAGAACGTCATCTACATATACTAAAAGAAACAGCTGACAAGTGGGAGTCATAAAACCGAAAGTAAGAAGTTTAGAGGTGAATTCAGCATTCCACTGACGAGACGCTTGCTTAAGGCCATAAAGGGACTTTTTTCACCGACAGACTTGGCCAGGAAGAGCCTTACTATAACCTGGAGGAGGCTGCATATACACTTCTTCATCAAGAGAACCGTAGACAAAGGTGTTATTAACATCGAGTTGATGTAAATTCTAGGAAAGACTAGCTGCCAAGGCAAAGAGAATACGGACAGTGACAGACTTAGCGACAGGAGGAAAAATCTCCGAGTAATCCTCCCCTTCGACTTGCGTATAGCCAATTGCAACTAACCTAGCCTTAAAACGATCAATACTACCATCAGCCTTACATTTGACCCGATAAACCCACTTAGAACCAATAGGTTTCTTTCCAACAGGCAGCCAGGTTAGTTCCCAAGTATTATTTTGCTCTAAAGCAGCTAGTTCTTGATGCATAGCATCTACCCACTTTACATTAGTTTGAGCCTGATTATACGTGCAAGGTTCTTGAAAGGTAGAGAGATTGGCAACATATGGCATATGAGTTGTAGAAAAAACAAAACAATCAGAAAAAAAATAGCTAGAAGAAGAAGTGGTACATGAATTAGCAAGAACAAAATAATCAAGATAGGTAGGAGGCTTAGTGCGTCTAGTACTTCTGCGAAGAACAAGGACAGGAGTAGGAATACAAGGAGTTAGGGAAGGGTTGGAAGAAGAACAAGGAGAAATGTGAACAGGTGAAGAAGAAGAATCAAGGACATGAGACAAAAGATTATCATCAGGAAAGTGATCAGAGATAGGTTTAGGCAAAACACAATCTGGGGAAGAATCATGAAAACAGGGGAAGATATCTTCATGAAAAATAACATCACGAGAGATAACAGTTGTGTAAAGAAGGACAGTAGATTTTATAGCCTTTTTGTCCAGAAGGATAACCGACAAAGATCCCTTTAATACTACGGGGATCAAACTTATCATGAGAAGGAGTGTTACCCACAGCAAACGCAAGACAGCCAAAAGTGCGAAGCATGTTAAGATCAGGTTTCTGACGATAGAGAAGTTCGAACGGACACTGCCATTTCAAAATTGGAGAAGGTAAGCGATTGATAAGGTAAGTGGCGGTTAAGATAGCATCCCCCCAAAAAGATTTAGGTAAATGGGATTGAAACAATAAAGATCGAGCTACTTGTAATAAGTGCTAATGTTTTCGTTCAACAACTGCATTTTGTTGTGGAGTGTAAGGGCAGCTTCAATGATGAATGATACCAAGACTGGAAAAAAGAGTTTGATAAGGCTCATTAAGAAATTCAGTGCCATTGTCTGTTCGAATAGTTGTAACATGACTATTGAACTGGTTTTGGATGAGGGTAAAGAAATTGGCTAAAAGAGTAGTTACTTGACTTTTATGTTTCATCAAAAAGGTCCAAGTACAACAACTGTAATCATCGACGATGGTTAAAAAATAATGAAAACCAGTGCTAGTAGCATTTTTATAGGGTCCCCACACGTCAACATGAAGCAACTGGAAAAGCACAGTACTTTGAATAGAACTAATAGGAAATGAATGTCGATGTTGTTTAGCAAGAGGACAAATATCGCATACAGATTGAGATTTATTGTTTACAATGGAAGAAAAATGATATGAAAGATGATGAAGTACAGTAAAAGAGGGATGGCCTAATCTATGATGCCATGTGGCTACATCAATGGAGGTATAGGCCTTATTTGGAGTATACTGTCTAGATAAGTACATAAGAAGCGTAAAAATCTTGACTTTCAAGTATGGCTTGTGAAGTGAAAGAGGTGGAGTTGATGATGTAAAGGCCTCATACCACTTTACCAGCTGCAATAACGTGACCTGATTTAAGGTCTTGCAGTAAGCAAAAGGTATCGGAAAAAAAGATCAAAAAAGATTGAGCAAGTTGCTCAACGGATAACAAGTTGTGTTTGAAGGAAGGGATGTATAAACAACCTGTAAGGGTTAAAGATGGGGACAGAACAACTTCACCTATTTTGTGAACTTCTCTAATGCTACCATCAGGAAGAAAAACAGGAGTATAGACAGTAACATTGCGAAGATTAACCATATTGTCAATACTACAACTCATATGGCAGGTGGCACGAGTGTCATCAATCCAATCACTTACACTAATAGAATCGGTATAATCAGAACTAAGTAAAGAGAGAATGGTGGTACCTGCAATGCGCCAAACTGAGGAAGATTTGCAAAATGAACAGATGCTCCGGGACTGATCGAGAGATCCACAGTAGAACCTTTGCCTTTAATGAGTCGATTGACTTCCTGTTGAACCGCAGCATTAACAAGATCCTGCAACTTGGTGACTTCATCAGAGTTATCATCAAAAGGAGTTTCAGCAAGGTAGGCTTGGCGCTTGACAACTGGATGCTGATTCTGCACTCTTTCAGCAGGAGGAATAGGCCACCAGTCAGGATAACCAATTATGTCAAAACAGGATTCCTTAAGATGACCAGTCTTGTGACAATTGTTGCATAACAAAGTACTCTTATCAGGCCTTGGAAAAGGAGGTTACCACCAGAGCGTATTGGGGGAGGTTTAGGGCCTGAAAACTTCGGACCATCTTTGCGAAAATTCTGGGAAGGCTGAGTCTTGACTGCCATAGCAGAATTATCACCAGAAACAGAACTAGCCATACCAACACTGACTTGTTGATGCTTTTCAGACTTAAGCAACTTGGACTATACTGCTCTGAGCGTTGGAGGAGGATGCATCGTTAAAATGGCACTTCTATTAGGTTCATAAATCTCATAAAGACCCATAAGAAACTGCATGACCCTATCTTCCATTTCTCTGTCTTGAATCTGCTCTTTAAGCAAACCAGTTGCAGCTAAAGAAGGTCTAAGTAGACCTAATTGATCCCACAAATGCCTCAACTTACTGTAATACTGAGTATGGTTAAATCACCTTGGTGCATTAATGAAATGTCACGTTTCAATTCAAAGACCATGGGAGAGTTACAAGTACCATATGTATGAGCTAATTCGTCCCATAATTCTTTAGCATCATTAACAAATTGAAAATCAGCAGCAAGTTCAGGGGCTAAAGCATTTTTAAGCCAAGAGAGAACCATACTATTAACACAACGCCACTTCTTGAACAAAGGAGATCTAACATCCGACATTTCACATGTACCATCATCAAATCCAAACTTATTTTTTGACTCTAAGGCAGTGACCATAGCATTTCGCCAAAGCAAGTAATTTTTACCATTAAGAGGAGTGTTGACAAGCACCATACCAGGAGTCTCCGAACCATGGAGCTGCAATTCATCATCAGGATCGAAGAACTGCAGGTGCTCTCTTGGAATACGCTGGAAATCATCATCATCATCATCAGATTCATGTCCTCGCGCCATTGTTAGTAGAAATCAAACCGCAGATCGACGCAGGAAGCGATGCGCAAGAAAACCTAAAGATTTGAGTCGGGCAGAAGCGATGAACAGATCAGAATCGAACCTCTACTGATACCATCTTAGAAAACTAGGGTTCATGTCCAATTGGGGAAAAAATCCCGTAATCAGTTTTTTGTATATTTCAACTTCAAAATAAAACTGTACAAAGAGTATTTATATATGTACAATATGACTAAGTCAACTATACTACTTTTACAAATAAGTCCCTGTATTATTTACATTTATCAATTGAATATTATTTACAACTAACAATTCAGAACTGTACATTAACTAAATGTATGCAGATTAGGGCTTTTTCCCAAAAAAAATTAATTAAAATAAACGTGGACAAATTTAAATTTTTCAGAATATTTGTCGACAGAACTATATCCCTCGGATTTCTAAAATCCGAGTTCTGATTAAATAAAGATTCGGAATTTGCAAATCCTAGTTTATATTTAATAATAAAATAATAATTACATAAATTTTGTTGAATAATAGTTTTTTTTTAAATTCTTAAATGAACAGTAAAGGTCGGATTTGTGGAATCCGACTTTAGTTAAAAATTAATAAATCGCGGCGCGAAATTTTTGAATCCAAACAACCGGAAGTCCGTAATCCGGTTTTAGGAATTCGGATTTTGGAAATCCGGCTGTCTTTAATTTTGGTTGGTGGAAGTAGGCATGTGCCTTAAATTGGAGGACCAAAAAATTAATAAAATAATCCTGAATTGACTAAATCCGAATTCATGAAATCCGAATCTAACGTAATTCGGATTTTGAAAATCCGAGTTACTTACGGACTCGGATTTCGTAAATCCGAGTTTAACGTGCTATAAAAGAAAAAAAATTTCAGGCAGTTCTCATTCGAGAACTGAGTTGGATTTTCTGTTTTTGCAGCTCAAACAAGGGCGAATTGGAGTTTTTGATGCATTCTTGCCTCTAGATACGTGGAAATCGTTATTTGAAAGAGGTTAGATTGCAAAACCATGTTATTTAGTTTAGTTTTGTGTTATTTTGATTGTTAGAATGATGTATGATAGATTAGGGTTATGTTGGTTGGTTGTTTGGATGTTTTAGGTGTTGATTTTGAGGTTAGAGATGAGAAATCATAGTTGTTCATGAGATATCGAAGTTGATTTATAAATATTTTAGTATTTTATAGGTTTTTTGTATTATGAATGGAGTATGTATGGTGTATTTTTTGATTTTGTTATTAAGAAATGATTAGTTATTGATGTTTTTTTTTAACAGTTATCAATGGCACGTAATGTATCATACATGCTTAATTTGTATCATACAAGTAAGCATGTGATAGAGAACGGTAGCATCAACACTTTTTCGAATATGCCGGATGATGGTTTGTTTGTCGAAGAAAGGTTGTCATATGAGGGATTGATTAGTAAGATTTGTATGACACTTGGTTGGGATCCAGCACACGTGAAACTCCACCTTTCTTTGATTTTCGATAGTCCCGGTGGTAGACGTGTAGTGAAGATCAAGAATGATTCGCATGTAGAGTTCATGAACCGTGTAGATCCAATGTCATGTTTGGATTTATACATAGATTTGGAAGATATCACTCGAGAAGAAAGAGAAGCGAGTTTGGAAAACGTGTCATTTGGTGGTTTTCCAAGGGGGGAACGTGCTAGTACTTCTCGAAACCGTGATAAAGAGAGGACACCTTTATTTGCACAAAATGACTACCGGGAAGAGTCGGATTCCGACTACATAGCTCCAAGTGAAAGCGAAGAAGACTGTGATGTCTCCGGAGAGAGTGATTTTGAAGAAAGTGATGATGAAAGGTTGGAAAATGAGGAAAGGGATTGTAATCTATTCGCCCGACGCCATGTATATAGTAAGATGGGGAACTGGGATGCCTCATGTGTAGACAATGATGAGTTTGCTCTTAAGATGTGGGATGAGACGCCCGAAGGAATGGACATTGGTGTTTGTTTCAAATCTCAATCAGAAGCAAAACATGCTGTGAAATTATGGAACATCCATCATAAAAGGGAATATACGGTCACCGCGAGTAGTCCAAGGACGTGGGCTGTGCGGTGCAGAACATTTAATGTGGAAAGTGAGGATGGTGAACCACCATGTGAGTGGAAGGTGCGTGTGTCATTGAAAGCTCACGGCCTTCATGAAATTGTGAGATGACATGATGCACATAATTACATGACTCCTGTGAATGATAATGACAATCGGTGTGTGGACGCGTCTTTGATTGCTAGACTCATCAGGAGAAAGGTTGAGGACAACGTAGATTATACGGTAGCCTCGGCACAGAAAGATGTGAAGACCTTATTGAAAGTAGATGTGCCATACAAAAGTACGTGGCACGGGAGGAGGAAAGCCATAGAAGCGGTCTATGGTGATTGGACCTCCAATTTCAAAGAACTTCCACGGTAAATATCAACTTTTATCCGTGTATTGAAATATTCTTAGTATTTTTATTTTTACATGTATTGAAATATTTTAACAATGACTTGTTGTTGTTTAGGTATATCACTGCGCTTAAGTTTACTAATCCTGAGACTGTAGTAGAGTGGGAATGGAAGGAGGGACAAGAAGGTTGGAACAGGGGAAATAGGACATTTAAATATGTCTTCTGGTCATTTGCACCGGTGGCTGAGACGTTTTTTGAATGTCCACCGGTCATTTGTATCGATGGAACCTTTTTGCGTGGTGGATACAAGGGTAAATTGCTTGTTGCGGTGGTCTATACCGCAAACAAGCACATTTTACCGGTTGCATTTGCGATTGTGGATGAGGAGACAGTAGAGAGTTGGACATTTTTTATGAGGAATTTGAGGCTGTGGGTTGTGTATGATAGAATTGTAAGTGTGATATCCAACCGGAATGCAGGGTTGTTGAGCGCAATGTCACAGATGGATGAATGGCGTGATTTAGGTGATGGTGGGCACTTTCTTTGCCTCCGCCATGTTCGCAGCAATCTTGTGTCGCGATATAATAGCAAAAAGGTGAAGCGGTTATGTTGAAAGATGGGCACGACGCTTTCAAGAGTGAAATACAACCGTATGAGGGCAGAGCTTATTGAATTCAAACCTGCTGCATGGGAGTATCTTCGAGGGATTGGAGGGAGTAACTGGGCTCGATTGAAAGCCGGTCTTCGCCGTTGAGGCATAGCAACAACCAACATTTCTAAGAGTTACAAAAATGCGTTGAAAGGGATTCGTTTTTTACCAATTAGAGCCTTGATCGATGCAACCTTTCGCAAAACTGTTAAATTCTATAGAGAAGACCAATTGTCTGCGAGAAATTGCATGACACCGATCCCTCCTGAGTTATGGAAAAAATACGAGAAAATGAATGACAAAGCAGCCAGTTTTGAAGCCACCCCTTTCGATGGTGATGATGCTATGTGGCGTGTTGTTACTGCCACACGCCTAAGTGGCAGGGGTGGGTCTCTGCATACGGTGAACTACGATGAACATAGGTGTTCGTGCAGGAAGTGGCAATAGTATCGGATGCCTTGTACGCACGCACTCCAAGTTTGTCGGAGAAAAGGGGATCGGCCTATTGATCTATACCATAGTGTGTGGCGCCTTCCAACGTGGCGCAGACAATTTCATTACACGGGCTTTGTTCCGGTTCCCGATGAGGAACAATGGCCGATGGTCAATTGGAACATCATTCCGAATTATGAGCGTCTTGTGTTGCATGCGGGACCGAGACGAAGACAAAAAAGGAGACATAGAATGCAAATGGATTACAGGGGACGCCGGAGCCGGGGGAATGTTGGAGATGTGGACAACTAGGCCATGATGCCAATTCTTGTCCGTTCTCGCACCCAGGAGTAGATAGAAGACCTGTGAATGATAGCTGGAATTGAGAGTCATTTAGTGTTCTTGCAAGTTATTTAGTGTTTGATAAATTTATGTGAACATTGATAAATTCGGATTGTAATGTGAACATTGAATTGTTCGGATTGTAAAGTGTGATGAAATATGTACCATTTTTTCATAACAGGTTTTCGGATTGTGCAAAATACTCATCATTTTAAGGTTTTCTAAGGGATTCGGATTTTAGAAATCCGAGCTCAAACTTTTTTTTTGAATTTGCAAAGGACTCGGATTTCTGAAATCCGATTTGGTGAAACCCATCCGAGAGTTGCAATTTGAGGAGAAACAGGGGAGACTCGGATTTTAGAAATTCGAGCTCAGACTTTTTTTTGAATTTGCAAAGGACTCGGATTCTGAAATCCGAATTGGTGAAACCCATCCGAGAGTTGCAATTTGAGGAGAAACAGGGGAGACTCGGATTTTAGAAATCCGAGCTCAAAATTTTTTTGAATTTTCAAAGGACTCGGATTTCACAACTCTTCCCCTCGCATTTTTCCCCCAAATCCAGATTTTAAAAACCCTAAAAACTTCCCTCCAATTCCACTCAATTCCGGCGACTCCCTCCACTCAATCCGGCGACTCCCTCCACTCCCTCCACTCAATCCGGTGACCCTCCACTCCTCCCGGCGACTCCAATTCTAGATTCCGGCGACCCTCCACTCCCTCTACTCAATCCGGCGATCCTCCACCCTCCACTCAATCCGGCGACCCTCCTTGCAATCCGGCGACTCCCTTCGACTCTCTCCACCTCCGGCGGCTTCCTCCACTCCTCCCAACTTCCTCCACTCCTCACGGTAAGTTGCAATTTTTTGTTTCTCTCTTAATTTTTTTTTTGTCAAATATTTTTTTTCTTTGTGAAATCCGAGTCCTTTTTTTTTTCTAATGTGTATTGTTGTGGTTTAGTTTATTTTGAATTGTGTTGTATTGATTAGTGAATTGTGTTGGTTTGTGTTGTATTTATTAGTGAATTGTGTTGGTTTGTGTTGATATAGTGTTTGTGTTGGATTTAAGTTGTGTGAATTGTGAATTGCGAATGTTAGTGGTATTGATATAGTGTTTGTGTTGGATAATAGTTGTGTAAATTGTGAATTGTGAA